TCCGGAAAAATATGGCACATATTTCCTGCGACCGGAACAGATATACTACTGAATTCAAACTCATTTCAATGAAAAAAAAAACCATCTTCATCAGAACTTCATTACTTCTTCCCACCTAACCGGTACTTAACATACCTGTAAACGGATCAAATTTGCATTTTTCACTACCATCACTTAAACCTTTCATAATGTTATATTTCGCAAATTCTTGTCAATCCCAATCGTCTCCCTATAATTGCACACTCTCTTCACTTTTCTCAAACATACTGTCATAAATTATAAAGCATATCTTTCCATCAACTCTCTCAATATCTAACACAGCCAATAATGAGTTTGTTTTTGCAAACTTTACCAATCTATCACATCCTCTTCATCAACTATGTTATTTCGTCGCTTTCTGCTGAGGTCAAAGGTTAAATAACTTAAATAGCTCAATTCTTTTTACAGCTCAATTTCCTCGCCCTCTTTTTTGTTTTAGCTGAAATGCAGAAATTTTGAATCTCAGGAATGAAATTTTATGGCTCAAAAATAAAAATTTTAAAATTTCTAATCAAAACTTCTTCTTTGAAAAGAAAAGTTTTAATTTAAAATTTAATCTTCGAAATTTCAATGAACATAATAATGTGCAACAAGCAGTAAAATTTTCAAAATTTTAATTAAACTTAGCATTCCTAAGAAAGAATCTAACCTAAAATTGTATGCAGCCTGAATCTAAATCTAGCTTGAAGTGTTAAAAAAACAGGCCAAAATTATGTTATTTAAGGTTTGCAACAAATTCAAGCATCAATTGATTCAGGTTTCTAAATATTGCTAATCTGAAATATTATAAAATTTATAATATCTGGATGCCTAAGTTGATGATGTTGTTGCTTAGTAATTTCATTTTGCTAATAAGCCAAGAGTATTAGCCAAGAGTAGTAGGTAATCTGGTTAAAAAAAAAAGAAAAATTTAGTATGATGCATTTGGAATTTAAATTAGGAAGGTAATGCTTAAATTTCAAATTTCACTTTATTTTTTAGTACATAAGTGGTATGGAAAACTTTTCCAATTTTTTTTAATTTTTTAAAATTTGAAAATTTAGAAACTAAAAATTTTTCACATAAAATATATATGAATACTTCAAATAGTTTCAACAAATTGAATTTTAATTTTTCTTTTTTCTTTTTAGAATATTTCGTTTTATTTGTAAATAGAAAGTTTGCGTGAAATATTTGCAAAAATTATAATTGTATTATTAATTACAATTCATAATATCAAAGTTCATAATGATTTGTTACCGTAATTACTCTTAGAAGAAGCGAAGGATTTTGCTGGAATACGAGTGAGACTAAATGTTTGGAAGCATAAAGTAAGGTTAGGTTAAGTTATTAATATTTATAAGGAAAGTTAGATTAGGCTAGGTTAAGTTACTAATATTTATAAGGAAGGTTAGGTTAGGTTAGGCAACTAATGCTTATAAGGGAGAAGTAAGATTAGATTAGGTTACTAATGTTTATAAAGAAGGTTAGATTAGGTTAGGTTAAGTTGCTAATATTTATAAGGAAGGTTAGGTTAGGTTAGGCAACTAATAAAAGCTTATAAGGGAGAAGTAAGATTAGGTTACATTACTAGTGTTTATAAGTAAAAAGAAAGGTTAATCTGGTGTTCATAAGCAATAATTCCGAGCAATATTACTAATATACATGTACAATATGATCAACTGATAAAATTCGAACTCAAATTTGAATTTGAATAATTGTCAATGTGATAGAAATAAAGCAACATTTGCTTTTTTTTTCCACAAATTCAGTGACAAATTTAGGTATAATTGAAGAAAATAAGTTAAGATTAAAAAACAATCAAACTAAAGTTTAATCAGGAAAGAGAAATAGAATAGATAAAAAAAAGAAAAAGTAATCATTTATCATTTTTAACTATCACTTTGTTATTTCTCAATATGAAAAAGAAAAGAATAATTTAAAAAAAAAAAAGAAAAAGTTAGGAATAGATCAAGTATTTCATTCTATTTTTTTAAACAATTTATTCTGTTCCTCAACTTCCTCAGCTTATCGTTTCCGGAAAAATTACTTCCTATATCCAGAATTCAAATTTGTTTCCGGTTTATTCACTCATTTCCTGAATTATTTCCAAATAATATTTCCCTATAAAAATTCAACGCACAAAAGCAAGCCAAATTTTACATTTCATATCAACAATATGCAAAGAGTTGCATGTAAAAATTAATCATCAATTAATCACTAATTAATAATTAACAATCGATTGATAATTAATTTTAGTAAGAAATGATAGTGATTGCAGGAACTTAGCATAAAAAATTTATCGTAATTATCAATTTAATCATCAATTATCAGTTCTCGATTTTTATCAATTGTTTATAATTATCAACGAATTTTCCTCATAACATTCATTCTTCATTTTTCGTTTTTTTTCTTTTTTTATTGAAATTTAATCTTGAATGGTGTTTTTATTAAATTTAAATTCGAAAACTAAATTTTTATTAAATTTAGGTTTAAAAACTTAATTTTTATTAAATTTAAATTTGAAAACTGAATCCATTTTTATTAAAT